AGGTCACCCTTGAGTGGGTTTGGAGTAGAGATTAGAGGGCAGAGTGGAGGCAGAGAACCCTAGCCAGGTGTTTAGTGCAGAAGTCTTAGTGGGAGGGGGTGATGTTTGAATGGAAGCCTGAATTCAACCAGAGGATTTGGGAGAAGGGGAAAAGTCAAGATATGCTAAGAAAAGAGAATTGTAGAACTTGGTGATTTTTATTTTTCTTTAAGGATGTTTTGGGGGTTGTCATTATACAAGGTTCGTTATACTCAGAGGTCAGGAAATATTTGTTTGGTTAGGCTAACTAAGTCTTAAATCTAGAAGACTGTTTCTCAAATTGGCGTCACCACGTGTCATTGGAGATCTCGTCTCATACACGTTTCTGGGCTCGTGCTGCCTTATGTTTGTGCTCTTGAAATATTTTAGGTTCTAAACAAGTTACAGTTGCAGCACTACTCATGTTTTACAAGCAAGCCAAACAAGTGATTCTTTTTAAAAAACACTCACTATTCCTCCCCCCACCTCCCCCCCATATCCTATTCTGGCCATGATCTGCCCACTCGCTCTCTCTGCTAGTCATGAAATTTGTTGACTATCTCATCTCCTGCCTCGACCTATCATACTTTCCTTATCTTCTGATTAAATAAAAGAATTAGCCTCTTATTCAGTAAATCATTTTATGGGTGCTGTGTCTAGGGCTTTCTGAAGTCTAGCTGTAACATAGCCCCTGCTAATAGAGAAAGCCTATATAGACCCACTCATTATCAAGCCCCCACATGCCAGAGACTGCTTAGTGAGTGCTTCACAAAGTTAAAAGAACACAGCGCTTGCCCTCAAGGAGTTCAACATCTGAAAACCTATAGAGATAGAAACTGGCAAGAAGAAACTGTTAGTAACAATATCTTCACTTTTCTGCAGTACGATTTGGTTGGAGTTGCTCTCCGGAGTCAGGGCCAGATGTTAGTAGTCTTGCCAGCTAACACCAGCCTTTGGAGATTTAAGACAGAGTGTGGTAGTTGAGAGCCTGGGTTCTGGGGGGTCTGATTTCCTGGCGCTGCCTCTTGTTGTCTGTGTCACCTTGGTCAAATTACTTAATCTCCATGATTCCCTTCATTATCTGTAAGATGAGGATCAAACAGTGTCTGCCCCAGGATGGATGAGAGGATTAAATGGCAAATGTGTGTGATGTGCATAGCACACCTCCTGACACAATGCAGTACACCATAAATCCTTGTGCCTGAACCAGAGTGACGTCTCCTCGGGCTCACCTGAGAAAGGTGTGCTGTGTGAGTTCCCAGGACCATTGCTTTCTTTCCATGGACGCTGTTGTGGCTAATGCTGAGATGCTTTGTAGTCACGTTATGTTAGTTACAAAGGAAATTCTGGACTATGCTTTCTTCAGGACAAGCTAGTCTTTTGAGTTTTCGAGTTACCGTTTTGACCACATCATTTTGATCACATACATGATTGGTTGTTGCTTCAGGGCACTTCCAGAAACAAGTTTGAAAGCTAAAAGGTGGCAGGAAACACCTTAGAGGGGATTCAGGCACCACTGCCTCTCTGAAACCATCACTTGATATCCATCACCTCCCTTCTCATTTGAGTTCAGCTCACAGGAATTGGGCACCACTATTTTGTAGTTCTATATGAGGCTCCAGAGTATAGGATGAACACACAGTTTCCATCCTCATGAATCTTAGTGTAACGGAAATATATATAAACAAGTTCAATGCACTGTGATATAAACACCAGTGGAAGTGTATAGGGGGTCAGGGAGGTACCTGGGAAGGATAGTAAGGAAAGTTTCACAGATTTGGTGACATCTCCATAGATTTTGAATGGGATAAGAATAGGGAGAGTCAGCAGCCAGCATGGTTTACACAGGAGAACTGGACCGTGAAATAGAGAGAGGGGGAGGAGGAGGGAGAGAGAAAGGAGAGAGAGAGAGAGAGAGAGAGAGAGAGAGAGAGAGAGAGAGAGAGAGGAAGGAGAGAGAGAGATGGGGAGGAGAATGTGATAGGAGATGAAATTGAAGATGTAGGCAGGAGCTGGGTCATGTAAGAGCTCGGCCTTTATCATGTGGACATTGGGGCTGTTGAGTGATTTTAGGCAAGAGAATGCTGTAACATTTGCATTTTTAGCAGGATCATCCTAACATGGAAGATGAACTTGAACTTGAGAAGGATGTTGGAGATACTGGCGGGTTCATGTCCCCACTGCAGGTTCATTAAGGCCAGTGACAAGGGTTCTGTTTACCTCTGTATCCTTAAAGCCTAGCACTTTATAGATATTTAAGAAATATTTTGGAATAAAGACAGCTCAGGTTGAATTTCTCTTCTGCATCTTATCCTCAGAACATGCTGACCTAGACCTCCCATTTGTCATAAGCAGCTTGACTAAGATCATAATAAATTCCTTTTTCTTGGCATTCTTTCAACTGGCACTCTCTATTTACTAGCCCCTCTGTGCAGCGGTGGTGTGGTGATGATCGATGCTTATAATTCTGACCCTGAAGTACCTCAGGCCTCCTCAATCATCCAAAGAAGATTAAAGTATATCCAATAGCACTGTAATGTTTGTGTGTTTTGCTGCATTCTTATTCTTTGGAAATTGATGGTTTAGCAAGTGCCTGTGTACTTGTTTGCGCATAGGCACGGTGAGAGTCTGTGATCACCCGCGATTCAGCGCTCTCCTAGTGCCTGCTAGGCACAGTGAGTTTATTAGCCATGCGTGCTTCGAAATAAGCAAGCAAAACAAACCTCAGTTCTCTTCATTCCTGGGAGGAAGCAGGTTGATTGGACAGAGATGAGAGAGAAGGCAGTGGTTAGAAAAATAGTGGGAGTAATAAGGCAAGAACTGGTACAGACTAGCAAGTCAGGCAATTGACAAGTGAGCCCACACTGTGGCCCAGCCCAGGAAGAGAAGGGCCCAAGGCAGGGGCGCCAGCTTCACGGGCCGTGTGCCCTGACCCGAATTGTCAGGCCTGAACTTGGAAGCCGTGTCCACCGGCTATATTTGTATTGCAGTAACAACTGTTCAGTAAAACGCCAAACATTAGCAAGTGAAAACATTAATAATTAGAGCATTCTTGTTCCTCCAGCACACACATCTTCTCATGAAAACCATTATTACTGCAGAGCTGATAATATTATTTGGCTCAGAATGAAGAACTCTGAGTAGAAGCTGTGAGGTGGCTCCATTTTGTAACCTGGCAATGTTGCTGTCAGGAGGGAGATTGGCTGTTTGAGTTATTTTTTATGGGCTGTATATTGCAATAAGTAGAGATGCCTCTTATGTTTTGTTGTACAGATTTGTTTTTGAAATCTGTGTTTGATCAACAAGTGATGCCTGTGTTGGGGTGCCACACTCATCGTCCTAGCCCGAGGAAGCAGCCCCTAAACCACAGGAGCACTGTCGCTCGCTAGGCAAGGGTATGGGTGGGCTTTAGAGCTAGCTTTACCATGTGTCAACTCTGTGATTGGGTGAGTCTCTTAGTATCTCTGGGTCTTAATTTGTCTTTTTCTGAAATATTGAAATAATATAAATTCCTCTTTTACAGGGTTGAAATTAAATGGTAGATATGAAAATGCCTAATTGGAAAGCCCTATATAAATAATAGTGTACTAAATGTACTAAAGAATGTTATAAATATTATAATAAAAAAAAACCAGAAATATGTTTCATCAGCAAGCACAATGTCCTCAAAACCTTCCCCAAAGTAGAGTGGTGGAAATGAACTATTTATTGAATTCCTACTATAGAGTAGCTGTTCTAGCTGTCACTGTGTCCACTCTGCAAGGTAGAGATGAAATCCCTACGTCAGAGATGAGGAAACTGGGCTTCTAGTCACACAGCCATATATGTATATATATACATATATATATATATATATATATATATATATATATACTCACACACACACACATATATATATACACACACACACACACACACATACACACACACACATATATATATACACACACACACACACACATACACACACACACACATATATATATACACACACACACACACA